TTATGTGGAATGTTTGCTGAATAGCATTAGACACTGTGACGTTTGACTTATTTCCAAAGTCAACGAACACTGATAACCAGTGCAAATTTTAATCCAATATACCATGTGGTCCTATTGTGGTTTAATGTCAAATGGTCTTTCATTTTCAAGATGAGCTCGCTCGCATCAATCAAACACGTCCTGGTTGATGTTCGTTTACTACGCTCAATCCGGATATTGTGGCTACACAAATACCAATAAAAATAATCAATTATAATCAGCTATTCACTTAGTTAATTTTGAAATATTTAAATTGTTCAGATCAGACAAATTGACAACAAAAATTGCGTTGTAAAAAGTCACTATGAGATATCGCTGATGAAGGTATGCGAAGGGGTGGCAAGGTCATCCAACGCGGCTTCTCTTTCATCTACGCAGTTCTAGGCTTCTCTGGACTTCCCCAATACTTTCGTTCTCACGCCGATGAAGGACAGGTCAGGTTGATTGGAAATGGAAAGAAGTTGTAAAAGGTGCTTGTCATATTTATGATAGTCTCTATTCATTTAGGGCTTATAAGGGTGTTGTTAAGTTAGGGAAAGCAGACGCGGTGGCGTTCTTTTGAAGATATTGACCGCCCTAGTGGCAAGTCCCGCACCCGTGGACTTTCCCCGAGGCTTCGGTTCTCACAGTGATGTACGTCCAGAGAATTGTAAATTAAAACTGATTTATATAAGTTCCTCGTTATTTTTACGATAGTACCTTACCTATTCGGTGAAGGTTTTTAGGGGTGTTCTTAAGTAAGAGAATAGGGATGACAGACACGGTGGCGTTCTTTAGAAGTGGTAGGTCCCGCTCCCGTCAACTTAAATATTTGAAGGGTTTGGTATTTTTTTTTGTTTGGAGCAAATATAAGCATTTGTCAATTATATAAGGCAAGGACTATACAGATCTTAGCATACACAGCATATACAGCATATACAGACATTATTTTCTTCCGCGTTCTCTTCCCATTGCGATTACTTATATAGTTAAGTCTTTTTTGTTTTACTTGCGATATCAGTAATGCTCCATATTTATTATGTTGCCAATTAATTGTTAATTTGTATTTTTCAAGTTTCTATGTTAGTTTTACCTGATATTCTCACAGCAATGGCCTTTTCGAACAGAAACAAGTAATATTGGCACGGGCTTGGAAATATGTTTCAAATCAGGCGAAAGTACTTGGAATCACACGATTAGCCGACATTTATGTTATAGAAAGGATTTCATGTGTTCTAAATAACAATCTCTCTAGACATCGCCAGAAGTTATTTTACCATCCATGCGATTCGGGCAACTTTGTCTAGCGATCCAAGCTCGTGATACCCAACATCTGTTGACCGTTATTAAGTCACTGGTATCGCGGTTGGTTAGTAAGTATTCCTTTGGTTAGTAATACATCATAAAACCCAAATACATTAAATAATCAATGCTCAATAGCATTCATAGGAATGCCCTTTTCCTTTGTATTGTATTTTGTAATTTGTTACTCTAGTATAGACTAGTTGTTTCCAGTTAATATTAACTATACAGTACCTATTTAAAAATCATTAAAAAAATTTAATTACCTTTTAACTTCTCAATACAAAAAAAGGAAGAATTTTAAGCGCTTAACTTTTAACTAACCGTAAATAAAAATCTTAAGCTCAATACTGTTTTAATAAAGGTTTTAACAGAGTAGGCTTAGAATACTGACTGACAGACCAGTTAAAATGTTTATCTTACTTTTAAAATGTTAAATAAGAAACTCTTCACATACCATGTCTTTTTGTAAACACTCTAACGTCTTCAGCCAAATGACCTTGGTTTCGTTGTTCTTTAACCATTATTTTTAGATCATCAAAAGCGTGGCATCTTGAAATTGTTACGTACAATTCCCCATGCTGTAAGCAGGGGATGCAGCTCTAGCAGATAAAGACCAACTTTTCGAGGACGAATTTTAGAGGAACACTCGTTTTCCAGCTGAACTTCAAGTAATAATTTCAAGACTTCATCATTCATAACTTTCGCCATTAATCTGGTTCTATTAACCAGTCCTTTTTTTGGATTTAATTTTCTTAGTAAAATTACAATTACACCTTTTTTGACATAACTTGCGAGGAGGTAAACCCTTATCGAGGAGGAAAATATGTCATTCTGAACAGTGTACAGACAAAACTCTAATTTTATTTGCAGATATTTTATATACAGCACCATTTGATTAACTGTATTTTTTCACTTCTATAACAGATTTCGTTTCTCATGACGCTTGATGAACGACTTATACACCTAATAACAACTTACTTAAATAGGCAATCCTAACGAACTACTGTTGCAGTAAACTTAACTGTTACACATGTTTGAAATTTACAACATCTTGCATAATTACAATACTTTGTGCCTGTTGGCTACTATGAATCGTTTGGATTAATTTAAGATATTAAACTTTTTTGATATAGGCCTACACAAGGTAAATTGACCTCCATGTTACCCAAAATTAAACACAGGTCCTATATATATACTAGTGTACATGTTGCTCAAATTCAAGCAATTGCAAAGTATTACAGGGGTTATTTCAAAACCAATAACAGTCATATTTAAAAAAGTTTAACTCAAAGTTTAAAAAGAGTTTAAAAAGAGTCAACTCAAATATTACCATTGTGTAACTCAGACCCTGATTACCTAAATCCCTGATCTTCGTTATTGATAAACCTTAAGCATTCCGGCTGGTTTTCTCCTTCTCAAAATGCCTCGGTGTACAGGCAACACATGTCATTGATAGAGGGTCAAATTGAGAACGAAAAGTCTTTTAGGGGTAGTGTTAGCTCGCATTCGTAACCTAATAGTTGAGATTGTCCAGGGTCAGGTGCTGACGTGTACGCCTCCTTTCTATGTTTCGTTGTTGTCGCGTCGGAGGCATTTAAAAGAAAAAAACAACAAATAAACAAATTATAGCTACACAAAACAACGATAAATGCACAAATTTAAGTTACAATCATGCTAACACGATCTGTCATAGCGACACAAAGCAACGATAAATATATAAATTCAAGATACAACCATACTAACACGGTCCGTTTTCGTTTTGGGGGTTATGTTTACACAAACTCAAATAGTAAATAAATTTACTCAATGCGTTTCATTGAATCGAAAAATAAATAACAGTAATTAAATTATACAGCTGATCAAAATGTAAACAATTATGTTCTTCATAAGGATAACATGGGAACTTTCAAAGCCACTGGGGCAGAACCCAAGGGACTTTGTAAAAAATGTAAGGCCAGTTGGCAAATCTACGCGACACGCTCTTTCCAATGAGATGTCAATGGATAAAATCGGTTAAGCAATGGCGGAGGAGTTCAACCGACAAAGTTTCATGTAGCGTATTAATTATATATATATACTAGCTGTACCCGCGGGCTTTGCCCCGTTTAGCTTCATATGTGAGCTCGTTCGCATGGCTTAATCACGTCCTGGTTGAAGTTCGTTCGCTACGCTCACTCACCTTTAGGTTGGAGCTCGTTCGCTGCGCTCACACGTCCTGGTTGAAGTTCGTTCGCTACGCTCACTCACCTTTACGGTTGGAGCACGTTCGCTGCGCTCACTTGCCTTCAGGTTAGCTCGTTCGCTACGCTAACTCGCCTCCGGGTTGAAGTTTGTTCGCTACGCTCACTCACCTTTTGGTTGCAAATTAGCTGTTGTCATAAATTAAAAAATAATAGTGCTGCACTCTGTTGGTAATCCTTGTAACTTTAATGCTATTGAACATCACAGAACAGAACCAACTTGTTTAATTGAAACAGCTGTTATGATTCATTAATTCCATTTAAATATGAGTACTCTTTAGGTTAACATGGGAAACTCCAGAGCCACTGGGGCGGAGCCCGAGAGTCCGATCAGAATAAAAACCACTTAGTTTTCCTATTTAATGCCTAAAGAATCAGTGTACCAAATTTCAGCCTCCTAGGTAATTGGGAAGTGGGAGAATTAGTGATGAGTGAGTGAGTGAGTCAGTCAGTCAGTCAGTCAGTCAGTCAGTCAGTGAGGGCTTTGCCTTTTATATATATAGATATATATATATATATATATATATACACCATATTACCACACTACAAATGTAATTCTACAATATACGGTACGTAGTTTTATCCAAAAAAACGATCAAAACCCCCTAATGATATTATTATTTGATTCAATAGTCAATGCACATAAGCGAGTCTTATCTTTCAAAGCAGATTAAATAATACAAAGGCAAAGGAATGCGCGAGAACGAGGTCACTTCACGGTTGCTATAGAAACGACGAAACTATCCATTAGAATTGCGCGCCAACGTCAACTAAACTCCAGACTGTATAAACACGCCGAGTGTGTAGTGTTCGACGGAGCTAGGCTACTTTCAGTTGGCAAGACTGGCTTCTAGCCTCGAGCGACGTGGTTCAACCACGAGAAGCGCCTCAAACTCCTGGGTAATCCCCGGTTAGCTCCTCCCACTCTGCCCCCTATCCCCACCTAAAAGACGAGCAAGTGGTAAGTCGGTCGGGTCGATTGACGATAAGTAGGTTTCTCGTATATAATAATTTAGTTTTACAGGCCGGTCAACTGGAATGACGATGAAATAACTTGTCGACGTACTGGTTTTCAGTATTTATCTATTTAATTAAAAAAGACGGTCTAGTGGCCAGACGACCAAGTATCTTGTCGGTCTACTGGTAGGCTCCCACAAAATTATTATTAACAAATTATTCTATTAAAAAGTAAATTTATTGAAACGTATTTTTCAGTCTTTAAAAAAATGATACTTGCATCTCTCCATAATATTAATATAAAAGGTGTCATGCTTGTAAGTAATTTATTGCAGGGTAAAAAAAAAAAATTATTGATTACTATAAGATTACTGATAATAGACAATAAGAAGTTAATCCCCAATGTGTAGTCCCCAGTCACCCCTACAGCATGGAAGCGACCGCTCACTACCACTATCACCTGTAGCTCTGTAGCGGCTGTGTAGACAGTATAGTCAGTGTTGGACTGTCAGTGCGCGCGGCATGTAGTGTTGTGATTGTGCGTGCGTGTGAGTGTACCATCTACTCCTGCAAACAACTGGTATGTTATCCCACCTACACACAAGTATCTGTATTGACTAGCGCTCATGCATGTTTTATTTATATTAAAAAATTTGTATAGGAGTACGTAATTTTTTTATTAATAAGAAAAAGAGTAGCCGTGTGATTTTGCTAAATTATTAATGGCCGGCAACATTTCTTCATTGTCATTTATTTTATAATAACAAATACATCCATTGGATTTACATTATACTCGTACAGTCGTGCAGTACATTTAGAACTAAAAATTACATGTAATTAAATATTTTCAGGAAGAGAAGCGAAGAAACACGAAAATTTATTTTTGAAAGGGTTCTTGTTCATGCAAAAGAAGTCCACTGAGCAATAGGGCCAAATCCTTGCTTTAGAATACAACTAAATGATTACTTTTTCATCGTCGTATCTGACTGACAACGAATAATTCTGATTCTGGCATATTATTTAGCTTTAGAAAAAATATTATAATGGGATTTACTTTTAGAAACTAACTTAACAGCCGGGCTTTTAGAAATACAAACTTTTAATGAGAAGAACCTAATTACCTATTAAAGATTTGTTTCAAGTTTTTAAATTTCGTTGAAACCCCTCTTGGGAAATAAAGCCCTTTTAACAAGGGGTTCATAACAATCAATATTAAACATTCTATGGATTTTTTTATATGACTTTTAGACCAGTGGTCTTCCAGTGGTCGAAATCTCGACAAAAAATATGTAATGTACAGACTTCTCTATTTTCACCCATGCTGTAAATAAATCATATGATTGCCATTTATTCCATTTGTTTAGATTTTCTGTTTATATTTCGTCACGAGCATGGCAACCCATAAGGCCCATTATATTTTTTTATTTCAAATTCATTTTTGTGCTTATTTTGTAGCCTATTTTCTAGCATACTAGCATTGATTCATTTGTGTTACAAGAGGTGAAAAATAATATAGCAAGAACAATCTATCTTTATTAATAGGCAAGCATGTTTATTTAAACCATTTTTTCTCAGATCGTGTGAATCGTAGGAATAATCGTAGGAATACGCATAGGCCTACTGAGATCGGTTGAGATACATGTTTCGATGCTTGAGTTTCATGATATGCTTTAAGAGCAGACAGGGCCACACACATTGATGCAGTATCAGTGTTATCCGTGTCGTGTCTCTGTACTGCAGTGTCTATTTTTTGTATTTTGTTTGTGAAAATCTATGTCATAGGATAAGGATTTAGCCGAATATCTACCCTAACACTGTGATGCGGTTGCGATACGGTGCCATACTCGTTGAGACTTGCGACGGTATCAGAGATGCGGTATCACAAAACTCCGCAGTATAAGGGATACTGAAACTTGAAACATGGACCTATCGATACAGCTATATACTTAATACTTTAATACTTTTCAATGAAATGGCGACCATACAAAGTAGGTATTTTAAGCCAAGTATGAATGGAGATGACACCGTATAATTGAAACCACGCCACTCACGATGAGATTTGTATCGTGAAACTCATTTATCGATATATGTATCGCAACCGATATCAGCGTGAGTGACCTCATGTTACAGATAGTTCCTGTAGATGTCCAGAATCCCTTTATAAATTAAACGTTTGATGGTACTTAATGATTTTAATTTATATAGTTTTATGCCTTATCTATGCATCTATGCATAAGACTTCAATGTGGTTGGGGTTATTGAATTGAAAACAACTTAATAAATAATGATGATGAATATTATGTATTAAATAAAAATATCCTTCGATGGTGTATTATACAAATATACAAGTTTGCATTGAAGAGGATTTTTAAATTACCAATTACTTTAGATTTTAAATTACATGTAGGAGGATTCACCTCAACATAAAAGTCGGAGTAGGGCCGCTTATGATCTTACAATTTAGTAAAAAAAAACATACAATGCAATTATTATAACTTTCAACACATAAAACAAACATAAAATCCTAACAACTCCTAGATAGAGTTGTTGACGTATCTTGGTATTCCCGGTATTCCCTGGAGTTCGATATCGCAACTGTGAAAGTGAGGTTATTAATACACCCCAAATAGTAGCTACCATTGCAGGATTGCCAATAACACCGACACTTTTACTTTCTACTGACACACTTGTAACGCACAGAGTATTAAAATAATTTTGGGTGGAATACGATTTTGGATAAGGAAAGAGTAAATTGTTGCTATCTGAAATTGAAACAATGCAATAAACATACACCCTTGCTTGTCACCCATTTGCAGTGAGGAAAGTTTCAATATAAATCAAACTAAACAATTTGCCCTTAAAACACACACAAAAAAAATGTTTAGCAGACACCAGTGCGTGATGTAAATCGCACACAAGAAACACACATTTATACAGGCTTCAGAGTTTACAAAAGGATGAGAACTCTACTCGCAGTATCTAAGGTCAATGACTATAATCTCTCCTTTACACATTAATCACTCTTATTCGGCGTGACACAACTTTATGATGCAGTAGCAGTCAAATCTACCTGAGCTTATTTTTTTTATACTTTAATACTTTTCGATGAAATGGCGACCATACAAAGTAGGTATTTTAAGCCAAGTATGAATGGAGATGAGTGTAGGATGTATCAAAAAAGTTCCTTTATTCATAACGCAGGAACGTTTAAAAACGAATAACGATCGTATCTTCTACTTCGCATACACTCAATAGTTACTGAAATAAAGAAGTGACGAAAAAAGTATACATAAATCAAATTGTCTATGAACAAGGATCTGCAAAACAAATAAAATTCGGTTTAACCTCGAGACCTTCTTAAGATTAACCTTGATGATGAGATTAACGTAACGTTGGTACACACCCAATCCGTCTGGCAACGAAGTTATTGTCTGCAGGATCTGTAGGTTCCACGTAATTGTTTGACTTCGAATCATTATGGTTTAACTAGGATGCTTATTCTTGAACGGGATTTCTTTCCTAGAGGTTGTGATTCGAATTCCGTTAATTGCCAATGGATTTTAACTACCTGGCAATGTTTCGACCCGAAGGTATCGAACCTGGTAGCTGTAGTCCCACATTGATAGTAAAAATAATTTACTCGTATCACTCAAGGAAGGAGGGTCTTATCTGTTCGGAAAGCTCTCTCCAATAAATATCAAATGACAATTAATTGAAATGTTTGTAATCGACGTCGTCCTATGTAAAGCATTCATTAAAAGCAGAACATGTATTTATTTTCCTGGCTGCATAGTCTGTTTGAAAAAGTTATACCTAGACTATTATAAACATAATGTGTTTGTTTTCCTATCACTCAAAAACTAGGGTCCTAGATAAATAGATAATACACATAATCAACGTACCGTACACTGAATTACAGTATTCCTCTTTTGATATCGGCCTAGGGTTCTGTTTCCTTTGGTATTTCAAAGTCCGAAGAGAGGCTTAAGGATGTAAAATATTGGTCTCCATATTGCAAAAGAAAAACCAACATGTTCACATTTATATAGTTTACTGTTTTTCATTCTGCCTCACAGAAAATTTGTCTACGTCATTGGCATTTTGTTACGTCTTTTGTTTGGTAATAGTCCAAACTCTGCTCCTGTTGATATCTAACGTCAAACTTTAAAATACATCAAGACATATTCGAATTTTATAAAAAAACGTGCAAATTTGAGTTTTGCCAGCCAATAATTTCTTCGAAACTTTTAAATAACCACATGCTTTTCTACTATGTTTGTTTTGCTCCATTTTATGTAAATTGGCTCGAATAGCAAAGGTAGACCTGTTCCCTTCTCTTTGGATTTTTCAACACAATAATTAAACCCTCATAAATGCCAAAGAATCTAGATTATTATAATAAATCTTCAACAATTACAAGTTTACTGCTGACAAAGATTTATTGTTCTGCACTTTCCCTGGTAAGGGGTAAGGTTTATGGCGGATTGCTGTGTCAATCTCGATAAAGCTAGCAGCCAGTCTCCGGCGATTGTACAGCAATGGTGAAGGGTCTTTCTAACAAGGAGAATCAGTTAACATTTGGAAATTTATGAAGAAGTCAAAATTATTAAAGAGTTAAAATAAGTTGTATTCAATAGTTATATACTTTTCACCTAAACGTTTTCTCCGCCTTGCTTACAAGTTACATGACACCCAGAACACGGGAGTTTCTTTGATAGGAAGTCAACATTTGTTTGATCCCTCTGCTCAAACAAACAAATTGTACGACATTTAGACTGAGCTTTCCTCCTTCCTCAAATACCTATTGTTTACCATCGATAAAATATATTAAATGATGATTAAATGATTACTAGATTACTGATATAGCTGTATTCAGTAAAGTAATTATCTCAACGACATATTCACTAAATTGATTTGGTGAAATACTGTACCTGGTTTTAAGAAAAAAACATTTTCTCGCCTACGGCTCGTGCGTTAACATTTCTCTCGTGTGTAGCAAAGTGCCACTTCGCCCACTAGTTGCACAAATAGCTATTGCATCACAGTAGGCCTATTTTGTATATATTTTTTTATTGTATTATATATCACTTTTGATGGATACAGCTTTCCAATACAAAAAAATCCCCTCACCTGAAGGGACTATAACTTTGTTATGTATAAAGTTGACCCTAAAGCGCAAAAAGGGCCCCGAACTAACAAGTAACGGGATTAGCTCATAGCTAAGTATAATTTGCGTTTGGGGGGATTTGAACCCGGGGCTTGAGGCAAAACGTTTCTTGCCCTACACCAGCCGTGCTCTCGCTCCATTGTTCTATGGAGCGAGCTTTATGTAACGCGCATATACAATTATGTAACTCTAAGTACAAATTGTATAGAATTTTCTCTACTCATTTTCAGCAATTTCTGTTGGCCGGATTAGACTACTACAGTAGACAGTAGATACATCTAACGGACAGCCTACAATTTAGCAGTGGCAGTGTACAATCGTGATCCCTTGAGGCCACCAGAGTGCCCCAGTTGCAGCAACCTGCGTCCGACAATCAACAATCGTGACTACATTAACAGTCACGAGCACTAATA